TCTTTACATAGTTATGGATATTATGAGTAATATTTATACTACATTGACCCACTATGAGAATACTACATAGAATGTTATGCAAAGTGTCATAAGTTATTCTCAAGGTGATAATGGTGTATATAACCATTCGACCTAAAACCGTTATGGACCCTAGACGTAGAGTCAAGTACTTTTTGTTGATAAAAAATTGAAAGTTGATGGGTACTCTATAAATCATGTTGAGGGACATGAGTGACCTAGATGGAGCTCATCCTGCGTAACAAGATAAATTTCTAAGGGCCCAATATTGAACTGGACAAAGGTGACACAATTTATGCCTTATGTTCAATATAAACAGGAGAGCAAAAGGGTAATTGTACACACGAGCATTATCACAGAAATGCTTTGTTATATCACATACCATTTTTGTGACTTAGGCAGTAGTGATGTATTTCTAGATATCGCTCATTGTTTATCATATTAAATATGTGATTTAATATAATTGTCAACGTCACGAGAACCTACATGATCAAACACATAAGGACAAATTGATGAAAGATAGAATATATAAGTTAAATAAGGAACACCATAAGGTACAATGTACTTTATAGAATTAAGGAACACCGTAAGGTATGGCATGCTTAAGTGAATTGTAGAACACTATAAGATACAATGCACTTAAGCAAGATACATAATACGGTATGGTACTGTGTACCTAAGTGAAATATAGTACACCATAAGGTATGGTGCACTTAAGTGAGTTTTTTAGCTTGTAGTCCACAAAACTGGTTCTATAAATAGAACCCTTGTGCAGAAGCTTTCATACTTGAGGAAATTAGGTTTTGAATCTTAGTTGTACTCTCTCTCTCTCTCTCTCTCTCTCTCTCTCTCTCTCTCTCTCTCTCTCTCTCTCTCTCTCAAGGTTTTCATTCGTAGCATCTAGCACTGATATTGACGACACTCTATTCATGTGAATTGAGTAGAGGGGTTGTTCTTAATTCATCACTTGTAACCATTCATCCAATTTTGCATCAAATGTTTGAATCGCCATAAGGGGTAATCATTTTTATCACTTATCATGCTCACTCGCAAGGATCGGTTTAAGATTTTTTTTGCTGTGTATTATATCACGATTTTCCTTCAGGTCATTCGTGCATTTTCTAATTTGAATATTGTTCCTTGACATATTTTACTTTACACACTATAAACTCCTTTAGATGCAAATATATTAGTCAATACATGTTTTTTTTTGTAGATTATGACACTTGATGGAATTAACTTCCTATTCATACTTTTGAAAGCTTTTTGCGAGATAGGTTAGACATGTCCAACTATCGGTTTTGTTATCTTTTTGATGGGTTAGGTTTTAAATCTCCATCCTTTTTATTTTTCCTTTTTTATTTAATAAATTGCATTTAATAAAAAAAATTAACCTTATTTTCAAGCATCAATAAGTTGAAAGATAAACAATTTCTTTTTGTGCATTTTCTTAGTGCATGACTTATATTTCACTTCAAAATAATTGATATTTTTTCTTAAATTTTAAATTAATGGTTCAAAAAATAACCTAAGAAGTTTAAAAATATTTTGTGGGCATAAATATTTATTAAAGTCAATTATAATGAAAAGCTATTAATATTTTTCATTAAAGTCAATTGGGACATTGAATTATTTTTAATAAAAAAATCAATAATTTTAAATGATAGATGTTAAAATAGAGATGATCAAACATAAATGAAATTAAAAAATAATGTTCATAACAAATTTTAACAACTTTTTGCATATTGTAACAAATATATAATTATTTAATCATATCATATTTATAGATATGACATAATGAAGAGAAGTTGTAAGGCTAATTTCAATTTTAAAAATAATAACACCAAACCAACATATATTATAACAATAACAACAATAACAAGTAAACATTACTCCACTAAGTATGGTCCATTTAATAGATCAAATTTCACTATATTTTTCTATCCAATATCATGTTTTTATCCAATTTATTTATCTTGAGATCTTTCTTAATAGTTTTTTATAGATATTTCTTTACATATATCTGTTTGACTCTTTTCTATGTGATGTACTCTTCTTACAACAAAATAGGGATGGATTCTCCTATGTTAAGATATCTTGGGGAATACGAAACCTCTCTATTCCTCGCTGAAGTATATCAGGGGCTTCTAGCAGTCATATAAGTGGATGAGCCATGGCCCATAAGCTCATAAGGACAGTCTATTATTGACCTACATTAATGAAGAACAATATGGCGTTCGTCAAGAAATGAAAATGTCAGAGGCACGCTAATTTGAGCCATACATTCTCCGAACTCATCCATTATGTCACGAACCCTAGCCATTTTACCAATGGAGAATGGACATTCTAGGCCCTTTCCCCTTGGCACCCAATCGACAAATTTTTGTTATTGTTGAAATGGACAATTTCACAAAATGGATAAAAGTTGAACCCGTCTTTAAGATCTCAACAGCAAGTGTCCACCTTTTCTATTTACAGAAAATTATGTGTAGTTTCAGTCTACCAAGCATCATCATTTAAGATAATGTGACTCAGTTCTCCAACATGATAGTTGATTTTTGTCACGACTTGGGAGTGCAAACAAAATTTATTTATGTTTTCCATCCACATGCAAATGGGCAAGCGAAATCAATAAACAAGGTAATATTTAAAGGGATCAAGAAGAAGCTAGATAGTGCCAAAGGATTGTAGGATGAACAACTACATGAAGTGTTTTGGTCATATCACATCATCATTCATTCAACAACCAATAAGACTCCCTTCAATATGGTAATTGGGGTGGACACCATGTTTCCTGTAGATATAGATACACCTTCTTAGAGACCCTATCAGTTTAACACGAAGGAGAATGAAGCATGGCTAAGATGCGTTACTGACCTAATAAAAAAATAAGAGATGTATCCCACGTTCGAGAATTATATGCTAAATAAAGGGCGACTAAAAGATACAATTCCCAAATAAGTTCAAAGAGAAATGCATTAGGGTGACTTAGTGTTAACACAAGTCGTCGTACCCACCTAACATGGGAAACTACTACCCAACTAGAAATAACTATATCACATATATTATGAGTTACCTCACAGGCTTACAAACTCGAGGAGTTATAAAGATGAATTATTCCCAGAAACTGGAACTTAGTTAACTTAAGATATTATTATAGTTGATTGATTAAAAAGGTGAGTCTCCTACCAATGTGTGAATCTTATTATTTGAAGCAAGTTTATTTGGCTTTACAATTGACTTAAATGTTAGACTTCCACATGAAGATCCCTTCAACCTCAAAAGAGAAATACAAATGTTGAACTTTGATAGGAAGATCCTTGTTGTCTCCAAAGGGCAATACAAGCGTTGGGCTTCCACAGAAAGATCATTGTCACCTCAAAAGGGAAATACGAATGATAGACTTCTACAAGAAGATATTTGTTGCCTTAAAAAATATAATATGAATTCTAGATTATGCTAAAGGTCTTCACCACCCTATGGGAAATATAAATGTTGTCTCTATAAGAAGTCTCACTTAAGGAACTCGATCGAAGTTTCACTTGAGGAACTCAACTAAAGTCTTGCATGAGGGAGTCGATTGAAGTCTCATATGAGGAAATCAACTAGAGTATTCCTTGAGGGACTCAATTAAAGTCTTTCCTAATGGACTCAACTAAAATTTGGCTAGGGGACTCGACTTAAGCTTCACCTAAAAGGGTTCATTTAAAGTTCCCTTTGAGCTATTTCGAATGAAGGGAATGAAAACTAAATCACTTTGCCAATCACAAGCCCACGTGCTTGAGAGATTGCGTATTGGTATATTTGCATAAGACTCATAGGGGGAATATGGAGAAAATGGATATAACATCTCGCCTACAATGTCTCCCTGGTCGCCCATGTTTTGGCTCGAGCACCCGTTTATTAAATATTCACATTTGTTTGGGAAGACTCTCTCGGTGTGGTAAATTGAGGAAGTCATTGATAACTTTCACATTCTCTCGGCAGTGGTTGCTATTTCCAAGTGGCCTCGAATCTAAGCCTAGAATAACTATATATATTTCAACCGTGAAATTGAGAGAATACAATTTCTTACTCATATAGAACATAATTTCTCACACCCTTATATGAGCTAACTCTCAATCTTACAACATATCTTAAAGCTCCTGACAACTCTTAATCACTGGAGGTTGTTATGTATTGTGTTTTTATCAAATACATATGTCATTTATGTTCTTACAAAAGTTGTAAAAGTTAAAGGAGATTTTAGAATTATTCTCAAAATAACAATTAGATTTTTTAGATGTGACACTGTCAACGTGATTTTAGTCTAAGAATAGTTCAAGTTTAGAAGTGTCAACATAGTCTTAATTGATATTATTTATCTATTATAAATTTATAAAATGTAAATTACCTGGTAATTACATGATAAGACCTCTTATTATTAAGCTAAATCTAATCTAATTACATGGTAAAACGGTAAAATTGCATAATTCTTGATTTATATTAGTTTGGCATTTAATACGGTTGATGTGGCATAACTAGAATTATTGTTGCATTTTATTTTTTTTAATTTCATTATTAACTTAACTAATCATCCCATACATTTATAAAATACATTGGAATTGGAACTCGGTTTATTTTGTATCTACTTTGCACCGAAAAGGCACACGATTTTCAACTCCACCCACCCTTTCCCAAGATTCACTCAATTGATGAAAGTTGTCTATGGCTGGACAGAGTCTACTTTACGATTTCAACCTCCAACCATATTCTTCTTCAATCTCTCTAAAACAACCAATTTTCTTCAATTCCCCACTGACCACCCTCTGTCTCTCAATCAACCACCATCTTTAAACTCCATTGTTGTGTTTAAACTCCCTTGTGTGCTTGCATTGAACCCTAAACAGAAGAGTGGGAAGAACCTATTCTACCATTAACGCTCTACAACCAAACTCTTTGAATCAATCACCTTTCTTCCCACACAATTAAAACCAAATGCTATGGCGAGATTTGATGAGAAAGCAACCACTCTATTTTCATGTTGCCGCCGTCACCAACACGAATCTGACAAACCACCAATCTCCACTACTGAAACAAGTGGTGATTTCACAGGTTATTTGACGTTGTTAACATTGTTATTAGCGGAGTCATGAATATGATCTTTGATCCTTCACTTTCTGTATTCCAGTTTTCCAAATATTTGTTTCCGGTCACTCATCTGATTTTCATTTTATTTTTATGAAATTTTTTAAATTGATTTATTTGTTTGTTATTTATTGAGACTGTTTTGGTTGTGTTATTTATTGAGACTGTTTTGGTTGTTTCTTTTAGCATTTTTGAGTTGCAATGTTTGTTTAATGTTTTTGTTTAATGTTTTTGTTTAAGTGTGTTGATTTAATGTTTGTTTACAATGAAAACAACGAAAATGGAGGATACAGGTCCTGCGGTTAAAGAAGTGTTATCGGTTATTGAATCTCTAAAGAAGCAAGTAGCTGTGAAACTGGCCTTTTTCCTCAAAGGGTTGAGCTTATACGCACTACACTGTCCAAATTGCATGTCTTCTTATTGTGGATTCCCTTGGTTTATATATTTGAATCATCGTTGTTAGGTATATTTTTCTACTCAAAATAAATTTTTTGTTGAAGAACTCAGTAACTGAAATCTTTTAACTTTTTTCTCTCAGCTCGAGACACTCCTAAAGTTTTTCCCGATTCCAACATATTGAAACCGAGTGTTGTAATGTTTATCTGACGTATGTTCCATTCCATCCTTCTAGATATGATGTTTTTAATTGAATTTTTATTATAGCAATATTCACTTTTTATGTTTCCATGTGGCATCCCTTATATTTGGGGATTATTATGATGTACAGTATGTCAAGATGTATGGTATATCCATAGGCAAATTGCAGGTGTGTTTGATTGGTATTATTTTTGTAAGACGCATGTCATTCTTATGCTTATTCCTTTGATTATGCATTGATCATTTTGGCTAACTATGTGCTAATGTAAAATGTAGAGCATACTCCCGCCTACAACAAATATACCCGAGGCATATAGACATGGCTTTAATGAAGAACAAGTAGGTTTTTACTGAAACAAGATGCTTACTTTGCTTAAATAATTTTGAAGTATCTATCTGGCACTATTTTGAAGTACTTATACAGAACTTGGCACTGTTCTTTACTTTATTTTATGAGGTTAGATTTTAAAATTTCATGTCTTTAATTTTAGATGTTACTTCGCTGAGGCTGGTGTCTTTAAGTTGAATTTGTGTCACTCTTTGTATATCAAATTTGGTGTTGTCTTTCCATTCTTATCCTTTAGGGCATGCTTACGGAAATGGCCTATCTGCAGGTCACCAAAATACTTTTGTTTGTTTATATGTTTTACCATGCTTACTTGCACTTTGACCAGGTAATAACTACTTACTCTCCGAGTTTGAAATAAGTAGGGCCAGTGGGACATTCTCGGGTTGAGCCAAGTCATATTATTTGCGAGCTTTGTGTCAATTCTGATGGTGTAATATTTGGTTAAGATCCCAGCCAAATTAAAATAACTTATAAATTTTTGGTAAATCATATGTTCTGAATTTCATATGGATCAGCTATAAGTTTTCTACTACTTTTTCATGTTTGAATGCAGTGCGAAGTTGGTGAAAAAAGAACTTTGGCAGCAAGAATAGAAAGGTTTGATTAACATATTCACAATACGTGATGTTGCTGCTAAAACTAAGCTACTCGATTCTATTGTATCTCAATGTTCAGATTCTCTAGACCAAAACTCCAAAGTTCAAGGGCATTTGAAGAGGAAGGTTGAGTGATCTGATTCTGTTTGTTTCTGTCACACTACTTTTCCACTTTCACTATTCCAATATGATACTACAATGTGTGTTTGTTGAGTTAAATGGAGTTACCTCTCATCTACAATTTCTTTGGGGATATTAAGAAGCAAATGTGTGATTTTAAATTCTAGCAGCAGTAGACAAGATTCCATATAAACTTATACTTATTTATGGAGTTTATCTTCTTTTTTTCCACTTTGAACAAACTGACTTTATGCAGGTGTATGAGCAATCAATTTCTGCAGTATGCCAAATCGACTGGCCAAATCATCTGCAAAAGCTCAAGCTTGCATAAATATTGACTAGGTCAAGCCATCTCCTCACCACTGATACCTCAAAATTAGGGTTTGAGTTTGCACAAGGACAATTGGACTTATAATACTCCAAATGAATTTCATGGACCATAATGGACCTCCAAGATTACTCATGTCAAGTTTCAAGTCTTGGAACACAAGTTTACTCAGTCAATTTCTTAGATGACTGAAAATCAACTTTATTAGGTAAAAAGTCAACTGATACATCAAAAGTCAAACTTTGACTTTTGGGTTAACATTAAGTCTCAAAGATCAAAATCCATCAAGACATTCAAGAATATCAAGCTTGATCATCAAAAGGTCAAGAAAGTCAAAAGTCAAATTGAAAAGTCAAACATTTCAACATTTAGAAAATTTTCTAAGTGTTTTGCACATGTTTATTTTATAACATCATAACAATTTTTTACCATGATGCAAAATGATTCAAAGGAAACTTTCAACATGAAAGTTATAGATCTTGATGAATTCTAAAAAATTTTATTAGAGGATTGATATCCAAAAAAATGCTTAGATTTGAAGATATAAGCCCATGAAGACATGACATTTTCATCTAGTACTTAGAGAAATTTTCAACAGATTTTGGTTAGGATTTTATCCTAACTTCTTGGCATTTTTCACATAGTTCCAAGATGATTATGTCAAAATGCCCAACATAAAAGTTATAGAGGATGTTTCAAGCTTTCCAAAACATCCAAGAGCATGAGTTTATCATACTTGAGCTAGGAGATTCAATGGCATGAAGTTGGACACCCATCCTTGAATTGCAAGTCTTTTTGTTGAAGAACACATAACAAAATCCTTATGCTATGCTGCATAATATTGTGTTGTAGGCCTTCTAACTTGACAATCTCACAATAATTTAATGCTTACACCTACTCTTGAGCTATTACCCAAGTGTTTGAGCCATTGTCCAAAAGATCTTTTCATTTATGGCATAAAGGCACCATTGCTATTCTTGAAAAGCAAGCTTGTTGGCACAAAACTTGTCTTGAGCCCATACCTTATTTACTTCTGATTTTACTCCACCAAAAATCATGGAAAGTAACCCCTCTATACCAGCAACTTTAGTACTTCATCTTGGGACTATGGAGAATTGACATAGTTTGATATTTGCATCCCAGCCAAACCATAACATGTTGTCTTGTAAACCTAATCAGCCCTTGTTCACAAACCTTTTGCCCATAAATAGAGGGAGCATTTGCAAGAAAAGGGGTCAAAGAAAAATAGAGATATTCTTGTGTATTGAAAAATCCTCAAACCCCCCTCATACTCTAAAAACCAGAATTATCCATAAAAACCTCCATTTTAAGCTTTGAAGTCCAAACCCTTTAAACCTCTCACACCTTACAAGTTCGGTCCAAACAAACCATCCAAACACTCCACATACATCATATAGAAGTAGCTCAAACTCAAGAGCAACTTCTGTAACATCACTATTTTCCAAAATCAAAAACATCCACCTGCAACTTGACTTCTCCAACTCAAACTCAAAGCACAAATTTCAGTTTCAAGGTAAGTCTTCTTGACTTTGAGCTCTTCATTTCAAACATCATTAGTGATTAATTTTTGAAGATAAAATGTAGATATAATTGCCTTGAAGCTAACCTTGTGCTTGCTTTTCAGTTTCACTAACCATGTGTTGAGAACTGACTTTTACATGTAATAGAACAATGATAAAAGCAAAAAACAACAGTATGAGTCGATACGAAACACTATGAGTCGACACATATTATGTACAAAACAAGTTATGAGCCGACACAAAACGCGTATGTGTTGATACAAAGCAGTATGAGTCGATACAAAACCCTTATATGTCGACTCATACTGAGTTGTTTTGACTTCTAGGAGCTAGAAATGAGTATGAGTCTATACAAAAACCACATGTGTCGATACAAAGCAGTATGAGTCGATACAAACCCTTATGCATCAACTCATACTGAGTTGTTTTTGACTTCCAGGAGCAAGAAAGTAGTATGAACTAATACAAAGCAGTATGAGCTAATGCATGCGTTAATACATAAAATTTCTGTGTCAATGCATAAGCTCATGTGTCAATACATAAAAGTTTTCTTAAACCAATTTTTTCTTTTTTTACATTATCTTTATATTTATTTATATTTTATTGTCATCAAATATTCAATATGGTTTTAATAGTATAATTAAAACATTATTTATTTCATCCCCCATTCATAAACTTGTATCCTCATCCCAAAAAAAAAAGATGTAATAGCGTAAAACTTTAAAATTCTGCAATTTATCACTGCCAATATTATTGCTAGTAATTAAGGTGTGTATGGCAAGACTTAAAATCAACAAGTAGACAACCCTAATTCAAGAAAAAATGCATGAAATCAATACACTCGCTCACGCGAACCTCTAGGGTAATTCACACTTGTTGCTTTGAGAAAAATAGTCATGTCCCTCGAACGTGGGATACTTTAGAAATGACCCTCGAATACAAGATCGTAGTCCCTCGATGACCCTTCGATGTTGCCTTCGTTAAAACGATCTTGGACCCTATTGTACCCCAAAATTTTCCCTCTCACGTTTTTCAAGGTCTTCCCCTACATGGTTGGTCATAAACCCTTTCCTAAGGAAAAGAAAATCTTTGAGTGATGTTTCAAGCACCTTTCTATTGGCATCCCAAAAATGCTTCAATTGGCATTATGGCCAAACCCTTCGATTTGCATGGACACAGGGCCTTTCGATAGGCCTCATGACAAGCCCTTCGATTGGCATGGACAAGATCTTTCGATTGGCATGGCAAGGGATCCTTCGATTTAGCACTGTGTCAAGGCAGCTTCGACAGTCATGTTAATCGTGTCCTTCAATTGGCATGGACAAGATCTTTCAATTGGAATAGAAAAGGAATCTTTGATTACATTTCAATAAATACCTTTCGATTGGTATTTGGACAAGGGTCATTCGAAGAACTCCTTCAAGGCCATTCGAAGGAGACCATCAAGAGGGCATTCGAAAAACATGTCCAGGTACACTGAACATGAAAAAATGGCATGAAATACCAAGTTTGGTAGTTTTTCAAAATGGATTTAATGGCTTTAAACCTTGGCTTTATAGGATGGATTCTCTCTTCATTATCTTGTCCCTTTCTCCTATGCTATAAGTACACCCATTTGGTATGCCAAACGGAGGAAGATGTACCATACAGAAAGCTCTACAAAACTGGAAAAAGAAAAAATCATTCAAATCGAAAACTTCAAACACTCATTCCCAGCATATAGTTTCAAGCCCAGATCAGGAGCATCATTATCGCCCGTTTAGTAAAATTTCTAAAAAATCCAAATCCTCATGTTTGCGTATTTTTGAATGTCTGCGTATTTTTGAATGTTTTGATGTGTATGTATGAGTTTCTAGGCATCATTAGAATAGGTCAAGAGTTTATCATGAAGCCCATGACGCTTAAATCATGATATGCCATTTTCAAACCATGTTAGGGTGTTCTGGCCATGACTTCAAAAACAGCCAGGTTGTCGAATCCAGGACCGGCTTCGATTCAAGCCTAGGATCTTGTTTTATTTTCTTTTTTTCTAACGAGTATTTGCAAATCCAGCACCACAGATTGAAGGAGCCATAGCCTTCTGGATCGAAGCTGCCCATTGTCCTCCTGAATCGAAGAAGGTAGCGCCCTTCTAGATCGAAAGGGCCACAACCTTCCTGGATCGAAAGCCACAACTTTCCTGGATCGAAAGCCATGGACCTCTGGATCGAAGGAGACGTTCCTTGTTGGGTCGAAGGGCATCCCCTTCTCTGGATCGAAGGATTTTCTCTGTGTATTTTACTTTTCGCTTGGTTTTGTTTCCTCTTAATGAGTTTCCACCTTAAAAAAATAAACAGCAAATCAAAAGATCACAAAAATTAGGATTAGATTTTTTTTACTATTATTAAATAATTAACTTCTTAAATTAATTAATAATTATTTTAATCATTTTTTTAATTAAAATTGAATCAGAACTTAGGATTTAATTAGATTTAGTTATTTTCTTTTCAGAACAAAAAAAACCAAAAAAGGCTTTCATTCTTAGGATTTTAGACGTATTTTTAATTCATGCGCGCGTTTATTTATTTTGACATTTTTAGATTATTGTAATTATATACCGGTTGTAATAGTTTAGGATTTAAATTTTCGTACTTTTAATTCCGCACTTTATTTTGCACCTCTTTTATGTAATTGCCCCAAAGCCCTGTAATAGCGTAGGAACCTTTACTTCTCGCTTTGTATTTTCTTATATGGTTGTATATAATTTCTAGTAAATAGGCGTGCATGGAAAGACTGTAAATTAAAACGTTAGCTAACCTAATAAAAAGACAAAAAATAACTGAATTGAACACATATGCACCTCTAGGGTATCCCTGCTTCGGTTGCCTTTCGGAAAATAAAGCAGTCATGTCCCTCGAGAATGGGGATGCTTTAGCAAAGACCTGTAAAATCAAAAGATCATAGTCCCTCGATGACCCTTACAGTGTTACCTTTCGGTAAATGATTTCTTCCCTTAAACAAAAGTTGTTAAAGCGTCTCCATATGTTGCCTTTATGACTGTAAAACGTCCCTTCGAATGTCCCTCAACATCCGAAGATAGGGATACCTACTCAGTAATAGTAGGATAGCTATATCTAAAGGAAAGGAGGAAAAGAACGTCTTTTTTCGAGTAGGTAGATAACTCTTAAGTACTTGCTCAAATCATCTTTTACACTTACGCACTTTCAAAAACTACTTTCAAAACGCTTTTTCACACTCTTGAAGTCTGATACAAGAGTTACCATAAAGCAAAAAAAATCTTTGAAAACGCACAAACACAAATAGTTTTCAAAAATGAGCAAGTACCTAAGAGCCCGTGTGTGATACGGTGGCCAGAACTGGGACGTGGTTTTCCTCTTTTTTAGGAATTTGCTGGT